TTTACCATAGAACAATCCAACTCTGAATATCCTTTGTTGAACTCTACATCATGCACTACCATCTGAATCTCGCTCTCCCTTGATCCTTTTTTTTTTTTTTAATTATCTTTTATGAATTCGTTCAATTGATTTGCTTAGAATAAATATTGCTGTTATTATCAAATAATTCCAATGTTCTTTTAGATTTTAGATACGTTTTTCTGTTTGAAAACAAAATATACATAGGCTGATTATTATTATTCTTGAAGAATTTTTGAAGTTGTTTTTTCTTCAAATTCCAGAATATTATTCCATTTTGTCATAAGCCATAAACTTTGTCTACATAAATCTGTAGATATTTAAATACGAATAATAAAAGTATTTGATTTAAGTACTGGATATCCTTTTTTTTTTCTAAAAGAACTGGATATCTTCCTTGGCTAATCCGTCAATAGAACAAAAATCCCTCGAAGTAATTTAAAAGTAACTAAATTGTTATTCAAAAGTAACGAAATGATAAATACGTTTTATGTAGTGAATTGATAAGTCCGTTAACCTCATAACTGGTTATGAAATTGGAAAAAAATAAAATACTTAGGAGGATTCGTATCTGGACTAATTTATAGGACACTTATGTGGACGGTCATATAAATCAGCATTACATGATAAGAATTTATGTACCAACTGCGGCTGCATTCTTGGCAAATGCCCGTGAGGCTGCATCGGGTGTAGTAACCTATTCTAGGGAACCTGCATCTGAGGCATCATCTGCTGTTTGGATGAGGTAATTGCTGTTGTGGCAACATGTTGTTCATGATCCCAGAACTATCCCCAGGATACTTATTTTGGCGATTCATCCATTGAGCTGGCGGACGATTGTTTACAGGAAGAGAAGGTCGAAATTGAGGCATGTTTCCAGTGAGCTGCGGTGTCCCATGATGCACGGCGAGGTCCACCAGAGTGATATTGTGAATTTAGTTGTCCGAAGAAACATAAGATGACTTTGGCGCAAGAATCGGTTCGCTGGAAAATAATTACTTATTCAGTGAACATAGAAGAACGCAAATGATGCCCAAACAATCACATCATTAATCTTAGGGTAATACAGAACTAAATAAGATCATTCACATATTATAATATGGTAAAATAGAAATTTTCTAAATTCTCCATAAACAAATTTTAGAGAAAGTCAGACAGTAAACTAATGTAATAAGTATAGATTAATTATTAGTTCTTGTGTAAAGAGTTTTGAGATAATATTCAGTGCACATAAGAACTCACTCTGTCTTGATCCATTATCAGCTATTGCTACCTTGCTCCTATATCCATCACTATGCAACTGTAACAACAGCAAATAACAAACAAAATCTTCAGGTTGAAACCTTCTCCCATTTGAAGCAGCACAATTCCACGACATGAGAATTAAGACCACTTATCAAGCATATTAAAGCTTAGTTGACCTTTGGAAACGTACTAGCAAGATCATCAACGTCGGACAGAGCTGTAGAAACTTCAACCTGCAAAAAAAATTGGGGGAGAATCTTAAGTTCCACCAGG